CTCTCTCTGGTCTCTCTCCCTGGCCTCTCTCTCCCTGGTCTCTCTCCCTGGCCTCTCTCTTCCTGGTCTCTCTCCCTGGTCTCTCTCCCTGGCCTCTCTCTCTCTGGTCTCTCTCCCTGGTCTCTCTCCCTGGCCTCTCTCTCCCTGGCCTCTGGTCTCTCTCCCTGGTCTCTCTCTCTCTGGTCTCTCTCCCTGGCCTCTCTCTCTCTCTGGTCTCTCTCCCTAGCCTCTCTCTCTCTGGTCTCTCTCCCTGGCCTCTCTCTGGCCTCTCTCTCTCTGGTCTCTCTCCCTGGCCTCTCTCTCTCCCTGGTCTCTCTCCCTAGCCTCTCTCTCTCTGGTCTCTCTCCCTGGCCTCTCTCTGGTCTCTCTCTCTCTGGTCTCTCTCCCTGGCCTCTCTCTCTCTGGTCTCTCTCCCTGGCCTCTCTCTCTCTCTGGTCTCTCTCCCTGGCCTCTCTCTCTCTGGTCTCTCTCCCTGGTCTCTCTCTCTCTGGTCTCTCTCCCTGGCCTCTCTCTCTCTCTGGTCTCTCTCCCTGGCCTCTCTCTCCCTGGTCTCTCTCCCTGGCCTCTCTCTCTGGTCTCTCTCCCTGGTCTCTCTCCCTGGCCTCTCTCTCCCTGGCCTCTGGTCTCTCTCCCTGGTCTCTCTCTCTCTGGTCTCTCTCCCTGGCCTCTCTCTCTCTCTGGTCTCTCTCCCTGGTCTCTCTCCCTGGCCTCTCTCTTCCTGGTCTCTCTCCCTGGCCTCTCTCTCCCTGGTCTCTCTCCCTGGCCTCTCTCTCTCTGGTCTCTCTCCCTGGTCTCTCTCCCTGGCCTCTCTCTCCCTGGCCTCTGGTCTCTCTCCCTGGCCTCTCTCTCTCTGGTCTCTCTCCCTGGTCTCTCTCTCTCTGGTCTCTCTCCCTGGCCTCTCTCTCTCTCTGGTCTCTCTCCCTAGCCTCTCTCTCTCTGGTCTCTCTCCCTGGCCTCTCTCTCTCTGGTCTCTCTCCCTGGCCTCTCTCTCTCTCTGGTCTCTCTCCCTGGCCTCTCTCTCTCTGGTCTCTCTCCCTGGTCTCTCTCTCTCTGGTCTCTCTCCCTGGCCTCTCTCTCTCCCTGGTCTCTCTCCCTAGCCTCTCTCTGGTCTCTCTCTCTCTGGTCTCTCTCCCTGGCCTCTCTCTCTCTGGTCTCTCTCCCTGGCCTCTCTCTCTCTCTGGTCTCTCTCCCTGGCCTCTCTCTCTCTGGTCTCTCTCTCCTGGTCTCTCTCTCTCTGGTCTCTCTCTCTCTCTGGTCTCTCTCCCTAGCCTCTCTCTCTCTGGTCTCTCTCCCTGGCCTCTCTCTGGTCTCTCTCTCTCTGGTCTCTCTCCCTGGCCTCTCTCTCTCTGGTATCTCTCTCTGGCCTCTCTCTCTCTGGTCTCTCTCCCTGGCCTCTCTCTCTCTGGTCTCTCTCCCTGGTCTCTCTCTCTCTGGTCTCTCTCCTATATCTCTCTCTGGTCTCACTCTAGTCTCTCTCTGGTCTCTCTTTCTCTCTGGCCTCTCTCCGGTCTATCTCTGGTCTCTCTCCCTGGCAAATCTCCCTGGCCTCTCTCCCTGGCCTCTCTCTCTCTGGTCTCTCTCCCTGGTCTCCCCAGTCTACTCTAAAATCATGTTAAAGTACAAAGAACAGAACGAGCCCGAGTCTGACAGTTGCATAAGCCAGGGATCAGAGCGAGAGCAGCGTGTGGCCACATGTTCAGGGCGTGTTGCACTGATATCACCTGCTGCCTCTGCTGATCCTGCTGACTCTGCTGCCCCTGATGACCCTGCTGCTGCCTCTGCTGATCCTGCTGACTCTGCTCCCTCTGGTCCCTCCTCCTCACGCTCTTCTCACTACGATCTCACACTGGGTTTGTCTTTCCAGGAGCAAAGGAACAGAAAATACTTCTTCTTAAAAGTAAAAAGAAGGATTTTTCCACATTTTATGAAAGTCCCGCCCTCTCCACTTTTTAAACAAAACTCTGTTCTTATTGGACGAGCACATGTCACCAGAATGATTGACAGTCGGGAGGACCAATAGTCCTCCTATATAGCTTTAACGTACTTCATTTTTGAGTTTTTTCCTTTAAAATTCAAATGGTCAGAATGTCCAAATTCAAAAACACAACAAGGCAACACAAAGGGGAAAAAGTGCATACAAACAACAATAATAATAATATTACCTGAAAATAAAAAGACATATATACTAAAATAAATACAACCTAAAAAAAAAAAAATATATATATATATATATATATATATGTATATAGAAAAAGGAAAATAACAATAGATTTATTAACAATGATAATAACAATACTAATAATAAATACTAAATAATGAATATGTTTAGGCAGAGGATAATTATTAACCCTTTAATGTTCACTCCTCGAGGAAAACTAGTTTTTTCATGATAGGCCTTAACCAAATGCTAATGCTAATGTTAGCATATGTATCAGATTGCAAATAAACTAGATGGCTCCGTGGGTTGGGGGCGTAGGGGAAATGAGAAGCCTGTGAGCGAGTTGGGGGCGGGGCTAAACATCCAAACTGAAAAAAACCCGGGTATATCTCCTTTAAGTTGAGAACTTTAAACTAATATTTACAGTTAATCTTTATTTACTGCATCTCAAATGTGGCCATTTTCTGTTGGTAAACAACAACTGTAACTGCCACAACTTTCTGTGTACAGTCCCCAAGGTGCTGGTCCTGGACTGGTCCTAGACTGGTCTTGCACTGGTCCTGGACTTGTCTTTCACTGGTCTTGCAGTGGACCTGGACTGGTCTTGCACCGGCCCTGGACTAGTCCTGCACTGGTCTTGCACTGGTCCTAGACTGGTCCTGGACTGGTCTTGCACTGGTCCTGGACTGGTCTTGGACTGGTCCTGGTTCTGAGCCGAGTCAGCTTGGTTTTCCACCTGAGAAGAGCTAGTGCTAGTTACCATAGCGACACATTGTTAATTTACCAGCCGTTAGCATTTTGTCAGGTTTTAGTACTTAGTAAAAGTGAATAATTGAGGAAATCTCTCAGAATATCACTGGTTGAAATGGAAGCGGTCAAAGTCATATTTTAGATGTTTTTCTTTGTCCATGTTAATATTGACCAATCAGCACCGGCCTGTCCCCCCGCCCCTTCTGTCCAAACGTCTATATTCATCAGTGACACATCCTCAGACTGTGACATCATGGACACAGCTGTTTTCTTCATAACAAAAACTAAATAAAACGTGACATAACACTTTATAAATGGTTGGAAACCGGATCCTCAGGTTCAGGATCCAGGTCAGCGACACAAAGGACCGTTTCTCAGAACTCGGCCTTTCATCTCAGCCTTATACCTTCCACTGGAGCCTCCTGTTTCATCTCAGCCTTCTCTACCTTCCACTGGAGCCTCCTGTTTCATCTCAGCCTTCTCTACCTTCCACTGGAGCCACCTGTTTCATCTCAGCCTTCTGTACCTTCCACTGGAGCCACCTGTTTCATCTCAGCCTTCTGTATCTTCCACTGGAGCCTCCTGTTTCATCTCAGCCTTCTGTACCTTCCACTGGAGCCTCCTGTTTCATCTCAGCCTTCTGTATCTTCCACTGGAGCCTCCTGTTTCATCTCAGCCTTCTGTACCTTCCACTGGAGCCTCCTGTTTCATCTCAGCCTTCTGTACCTTCCACTGGAGCCTCCTGTTTCATCTCAGCCTTCTGTACCTTCCACTGGAGCCTCCTGTTTCATCTCAGCCTTCTGTATCTTCCACTGGAGCCTCCTGTTTCATCTCAGCCTTCTGTACCTTCCACTGGAGCCTCCTGTTTCATCTCAGCCTTCTGTGCCTTCCACTGGAGCCTCCTGTTTCATCTCAGCCTTCTGTACCTTCCACTGGAGCCACCTGCTTCATCTCAGCCTTCTGTACCTTCCACTGGAGCCTCCTGCTTCATCTCAGCCTTCTGTACCTTCCACTGGAGCCTCCTGTTTCATCTCAGCCTTCTGTACCTTCCACTGGAGCCTCCTGTTTCATCTCAGCCTTCTGTACCTTCCACTGGAGCCTCCTGTTTCATCTCAGCCTTCTGTACCTTCCACTGGAGCCTCCTGTTTCATCTCAGCCTTCTGTACCTTCCACTGGAGCCACCTGTTTCATCTCAGCCTTCTGTACCTTCCACTGGAGCCTCCTGTTTCATCTCAACCTTCTGTACCTTCCACTGGAGCCTCGTGTTTCATCTCAGCCTTCTGTACCTTCCACTGGAGCCTCCTGTTTCATCTCAGCCTTCTGTGCCTTCCACTGGAGCCTCCTGTTTCATCTCAGCCTTCTGTACCTTCCACTGGAGCCTCCTGCTTCATCTCAGCCTTCTGTACCTTCCACTGGAGCCTCCTGTTTCATCTCAGCCTTCTGTACCTTCCACTGGAGCCACCTGTTTCATCTCAGCCTTCTGTACCTTCCACTGGAGCCTCCTGTTTCATCTCAACCTTCTGTACCTTCCACTGGAGCCTCCTGTTTCATCTCAGCCTTCTGTACCTTCCACTGGAGCCTCCTGTTTCATCTCAACCTTCTGTACCTTCCACTGGAGCCTCGTGTTTCATCTCAGCCTTCTGTACCTTCCACTGGAGCCACCTGTTCATAGTTATCGACCGGAGCCAAAGATAGACCCACATCTGCAATCTGAGAACCCCCACCGCCTCCGCTGCAGCCCGGACCCGTCAGGCCGGACCCGCCAGGCTCATCCAGTGCTTATCAACCAGTGGGCCATGGGCTGTTAGTGGGCCGTGAGATTGTGTCTGGTGTGCCTTTGGGGATTATCCAATATTACCTCAATGGTTATAATATCTCCCTGACTCAGGTTGCCAGATATGCAGACAAATCCAGGGCCCTAATCTGTCATCATTAGAGGGCCCTAATCTGTCATCATTAAAGGGCCCTAATCTGTCATCATTAAAGGGCCCTAATCTGTCATCATTAAAGGGCCCTAGTCTGTCATAATTAAAGGGCCCTAATCTGTCATTATTAAAGGGCCGTAATCTGTCATCATTAAAAGGCCCTAATCTGTCATCATTAAACGGCCCTACACTCAAAAAAATGATTCATTGGACTAACTCAATTTAATTGTGGGCAGAAGTTCCATCCAAAAAATATATTTAAACTCAACTCAAACAAAGTTTTTATGTGTATGTTAATATAGTTTAGTTTGTCCAGAACTATATTTTCTCATTTGCCTGACTAAAAGGGAAGGCTTTCAAGTAAAGAAAATGAAATGGGTTTGGGCAATCAATTTTCAACAATTAATAGCTCAACTTAAAGGTTTTTATGTAAAGACATATAAATGAGTTGGGTCAAGCCATTTTTAATAATTGTATCTAAAGCTATTGTTATATTCTAAATGTATTATTATAATTTGTGGTTGTTCAACTCAAAAGTTTTCATTCTAAATAAAACATACAAATTTGATCCGGACTACAATATTTGTTGTAAAAGATTTATTTATTTTAACAATTTAAAACTTTACTCTGAACAGTTTCTAAAAGTTTTGTTTTTCTTCCAGAAAGTCAATTTTACACTTCCACCCTACGAATATGAATTGCTAATCTAATAAAACTGTATTATGAAAAAGCTGGTAATTCTTAACAGTCAGCCTCTAAATTTCCACAAATTGTCAATTCTCCCTTACATTTTTACAGCTCTCTAACAAGTATAAAATGGGCACAATTAACGAAATATTTAAAAACAACAAATTGCTATCACAACAGATAGGTTTTCAATCAAACTGACGGTAATGTCATCAAAGAACTTCTAAACAAAGTCTTAACAAAACACAAAGACAAATAGTGGACCTTCATTACTGGAACATTTTCATTTTGAGTTGCTGAATTTTGCTGTTCAGCCTGTGTCCATCCATGTGCATGATAACTTTCTGGATAAACTCAAATGTGTGCTGGAGATTGCCTGGGTAGCTTAGATCAAGGGCATAGATCAGTCCAAACAAGAGGATGAATGCCATGATGACGCTTCCGGCCCGACTGATGACCTTGACACCTTCAACTATGATCCAGACATCATCAGCAAACCCATGCTGGGCCCTCCTGAAGACAAAGATGGCCATCATGGTGGTCTCAACATCGTTTTCAGCGTTGTCCACCTCATCAATCTGAAATAAAACAAAAATATACATATTTACATCTCTCTCACCATAATTGATTGACTATAATAACGTCTATAATGGATCTTTAGACAAAATTATAAAATATTTAAACTATAGTTTATTATTTCACTGGAAAAAAAGAGTAATGTTTAAAACTGAGAAGGGGGATATAACCTGAGGGGGTGTGATAACTTTAAGGTTCAAACAGTGTGTTCCACTAGGAAAAGTATGCGTGTGTCTGTATGTGGAGTTAAACTCTGGAACAAATTGGGGGCAGAATTTAAACAATGTCCAAATATTCATCATTTCAAAACAAGATATAAAAAAATGGTATGGTCAAAACCAGAAGGAGGAAATGGGTGCTTGATTGCTGATGGGTGTTACAAAGTGCTGTAAGGTCAGATCTAATTAATGATTGTTACTATTATACTATTGCAGATGTTGTTGCCATGGTTATTGCTATTGCTGTTGTGTTGTTATCATCACTATTTTAACTCTAAACTTTAAATGTAACAGTCTAGGATTAATACCTAACAATCTATAGATTATTCTTAGAATCAAACTTAATCGATTCAGACAGCGGTGTTGCTATTGATGCTGATGGTAATATAAAGGAATTAAATTCTTAGAAGTAAAACATGCACATATCCATGTACTCCACATTCAACATAACCCGTAGTACAGGGCAGACATGTGGGGGTCAGCTCGAGGAAACCCTCTTCTGGCAGCAGACTCCTAAAATGTGTCTCTTTTAATGCATAGTATAGGACACTTAATAAATGATGGTCCGGTTGCTCGGGGGCTGCTCCCCTCTGGCAGCAGGTCCAGTCACAGAAAGAAAGAAAAAAGAAAAGCCTCAAATCCACACATCATTAAGACTATTCTTGTTATCATGAGCATCAATTAGTCTGCGATTACTGTACCTTTCATGAATAAATGAGGGGTATGTTATGTATCATTCAAACACTTTGATACAGAGTAATGTTATATGAGTTGTAATGGTGATGATGAATAGCGGTAATGCCAACATGGTAATAAATTCAGCATGAGAAACAAAAATAATACACCGGTTATAACGTATAAGATACTGTGAATGTTGACCTATTGTGGTGCAGTGTTGCATTTGATAATATGTAACTAACTCAATTAATTGCGTTGTAAGATAACAAGAACTATACATTGTTATTGTTATACATTGTTATTTAAGTTTATGAGCAGGGGTGGGAGTCAATAAGCGTGTCTTCTTCCCACTCCTTTTCCAGCTAAAATGTAAATGATTTTATTTTTTCTTTCTTATTTTATTATGTATATATATTTTTCTGTTCTTCTTTTCTTGGCTTTGTGCCTTGTGTGTGTGGCTCGAAATAAAAACTCAAACTAAAACTGACTGAATAATCTGGTTATAAAGTATATTTATAAACGCTTTATAACGTTTATAAAGTGTTTTCTAAATCTGATAGATTACATATCTAATAAGTTTGCATATCCAGTTACCTGTTAAACCAAGTATAGTATTTTTTTATGTCAGCTAACCTAAATTATGGATGCCTTTTGGCTCCAATTGGACACAAACACAGCTGAAACAGAACACAGAGGAACACTGGTGAGTGTGCACTGAGATACTAACCCCATAATCCTTGAACACTGACTTCGGATCCTCATTCAAGTAGACCATTAGGCTTTTAAGTATGCCCTCGCGCTTTACATCGATGTCCTCCTGCAAATATACATAATTGTACATTCGTATATTCAATTAAAAACAATTATATAGATTTAGAAATTTACACCATAAACAAAAATGCTTTTCACGAGATGTCACAAATCAGTTTTGAGGTCAATAAATCAGTTTTGGCTAGAAGTCCAAACACTGGGGTGATTAGGCCTTCTCAGTCACTGTAAAAGCTTTTCCAAGTTTCATTTGTAATTCCAAAGTACAACCCTGTACTTTGGAATTACATCCGCTAACCTGAGGTTTTGAGTGCCAATACTTCACGACCTATTCTTTTTTCATTTAAATAAGTAAAGATTATGAGGTGGACAACAATATAGAAATGCCTTTTGCTGTTCCTACAAATGCGTACTTCTGTTAGCCAACAGTTTCCCGATGTATCGTGGAAACATTGGGTGGAGCAGCATGGTGTTGCTCTGCATGTGCAGAACTATTGTGTTATTTTACATTCAGCTGTCTACATAACCTCTTAACACCCGCCTTAACCAAACACATTTTCTCCAGTTCAGCATTACCTAAATCTAAAAGCTTCTTGATTCTAGCTTACAGGTTATTGGCCAGTCTAGCGACTGATTTGAAAGCTAAATCTGAATCCGAAACCCTTACATTGGTAAGAGGTCTAACGGCAAACCGGATGTGTGTCAGCGACTGCCACGATGAGAAGCCGCCGCATTGAGCTGTCAGTTAGGAAGGAGTTAGGCGAGGAGCCTCAATGCTAACTATCATAGCCACTTTAGCATAGGGACCTCTGGTGCTAACTAACCGGTGATTAGGAGCCATGTGCCATCCCATAAGCCACCACGCCGCCAATCCCCTCGCCCCCACCCTCGAGTAATTCTTCATGCGCAACCACTGTTGATTGACAGACGCACATTTAATAGTAATAATATATATATTTTCTTTTTCAGATTCTGCACGAGCCAAACTTAATAAAAAAGTGACAAAATACATGTTAAGAGTCACCACAACACAGTTACTGTTTTAAAGAGCTTCATATCATTATTGTGGTTCATGTTTGAGTCATTAAAGTCTGTGGCTGCAGTTGGAGTATATATTGTAATCAAATACTATTTGTTATGTAGCTTTATAAATGGAGAAAAAATAACACCAAATGGAAATGTGATGGATCATTTGGATTTTCTTTTTTTTTCCTCCTTAAAAGTAACCGGCCACCGTTTTTCCATACTGAGATATGTTCTTACCTGAGCTTAGACAAGTTGATGCGTACCTGTCTGGTCTTTGTGGGTGCGCACAGTCACGTAAAAAGACCAAAGATGTTGTTAGCATTTGGCCTCTCCCGGCATATTCCTATGGCTCCAAAACAGGGGTGAAGTTGGAAGCGACCACGCTCTTCCACGGGCACGCACAAAGACCAGACAGGTACGTAGCAACTTGTCTAAGCTCAGGTAAGAACAGATCTCAGTATGGAAAAACCTGTTCCTTGGCCAGAATCAAAGTGGTTTAACTCTTACAACCAGCGCGATTCCCACAAGAAAAAAAAAACAGATGGAGAGGTCAGAGCGGTGAGTAAGCCATTTATAAAGCTGGGTTGCAGATGTCAACTGCATTTTTAAGTAACTTATTGTTGAGATATTTCTATTTCTACTACTGCTAATGTTGCATGGGCTGCAGCAACTCAGAAAGAGGGTCACAGTGAACCGAATCGAAGCGTCTCGTCTTCTGGGTTAGAAAAATACCTCCAGAAAATACTTGTATGTCTCACAAAAAAAATGAGTACTCCATAGTGGTAGGTACAATACATCATAAATGTCTATAGTTTACTTTCATATGGCTAAAAGAGCATGATATAGTCCCTTTAAATACATTGGTCGTCACTTACCTCCTCACTTTGTTCTAGAAGTCGGCGGATTTTCAGACCTTTGGCTCCTCCCTTGGGCTTTAAATATGCTGATGAGCTTCTCAGAGAAGTGATCCAACTGGGAGAGAAACTTTGAGACGAGTGGCTTTGTCGTGATCCGTACGAATTCGTCATTTACCTTGAAAATATTTTTAAAGTGTATTAATGACATGAAAAGGAAATATACAGTAATCACAGAAATGACAAAGGCACAAAAGTAATAACACATTTGTAAAATGCGGAATTAGCTTACGTAACTAGTGACAGGCAATCATCCTTCCAACCATAAAAATATTTAATCATTGATTTAAACCCTTTTTTTTAAACAAATTACTGGCATGTTTCATGCAGAATTACACAATGCATTTTGGCTATTATAGTCAAGCAAGTTCAGCACTTTTTAAAAAAAATCCTGGTTGAGTCATGGTTTTGCATTTGTTCACTATTTTTTTCATAGTATACTAATGTACTCACTCCATTTGGTGTAAACAGGGCAGGCCATCTGTCCTTGACTTCTGCAATCCTGGGTTTTTGTTCCACAATCTCCAGGCGTCTATGCGAGAAGGTCTTTTCCATTTTTGCCTTGATGACACCTTCATTGTCACTTTTTTTTGCTTCTGACAATAAGGCGACTCTTTCAGTCTCCAAGGTGTCAGCATTTTCACCTTGTGGATAGAGAGGGATGTAATTCACCTCTGCTTTCCGTGGTTTTTTAATCTTGGCTGCTGCTTTTCCTTTTCCCTCACGTTTGTGTTTTAGGGAGTTCACACGGATTTCCAAATCTCCAAGTTGACTAAGTGTGGTTCTGTAATTTTGTATTTTATATTTCAGCGATTGCTTCCATCCACAGAAACCTTTCTTGGTGCCTAGTTGCTCCAGACAAGGATGTGCTCTTACTAAGGCTTCAGCTACTTCCTCACAATGATAACCTTGGGGATATTTGGTGTATTTCACCATTTCTTGAGCAAGGCCATCAAGGATGGATGACTTTAGCTTAGGACTGGGGTGAAGTATTTTCAAACTCTGAGCCGCAGTTGTTGCCTCATATGGAAATTTTGGGATGACTCACTGAAGGACATTTTTTGGTGCCAAAATGCATCGTGCAGGATGAAACAAGGGAGGAAACTGGCCAGCCTATGAAGTTTAGGTGTTGATGGCATTACTGGATCTGGTGCGTCTGCCGTTTCCACTGGGTATAGTGTGATGAAGGCATCCTCAGGAGGTAAATACACAACTTTTATTGTGGCCTTGGAGCTGAGTTCTAACATTGAATCCAAGTTTATAAATGCATCCAAGTCTGTATCCATGTACTGAATTCTAAAAGGTCTTTGCACTTGAAAATCTTTTTGAATAATTCCGTAAAGCTCTTCGGTTGTCTCAGGAATTCCTGACAGTAGGGTCATTTTTCTGGAGTCTGACTCATCTCCAAATAGGACCCTCAGGACTGCCGGAGACGCCATCATTCTCCTTTAATCTAGAAAATAAACAATTGAATACATACCTCACAAACGCACACGTACACACACACACATACAAACACACACACGCACACATACACGCACACACACATGTACAATCACACAAATACACATACATTATACATACTTCACAAACACACACGTACACACACACATGGAGGAGGGGGGAGGATTAATAATAACTAACAGGGCTGGTATCTGAGCGTGCAGAGGTGGAACATTGTGTACTGGTGTGTGTCACGGAGGGGTCGGGGGTCGGGAGAGGCACATGACCAAAAACATGGTAATTGTTTGTCTGTAATGACTGTGAGACCCACGACACTCTCAGACAGACCTGGGTAAAGTGCGGCCCGGGGGCTATGTCCGGTCCGATTCACATTTCTATGGACCCAGTCGTTAACCTCAAACTGCTCTGTTGCTAATTTAAATGAATTAAGAGTCACTGTCTGATAAAGGCTCGAAACTTTATATGTGCTTCCATGTTATATTTATGTAGACATGCATGTATGTGTATATATAGATAGATAGATAGATAGATAGATAGATAGATAGATAGATAGATAGATAGATAGATAGATAGATAGATAGATACTTGATACTATTGATCCCCCGAAGGAGAAATTCAGGTGTCCAGTAGTAGCAAATAGAAAAAAGAAAATTGATCATTGTAATAAAAAAGATAACAGTAATAAAAATCATCCACAGCCCTTCAGGTCAGAGCAGCAGAGGTGGAGTATAGTCTCTGGGTGGAGCAGGACGGGTCGCAGCAGCAGAGGTGGAGTAGCCTCTGGGTGGAGCAGGACGGGTCACAGCAGCAGAGGTGGAGTAGTCTCTGGGTGGAGCAGGACGGGTCACAGCAGCAGAGGTGGAGTAGCCTCTGGGTGGAGCAGGACGGGTCACAGCAGCAGAGGTGGAGTAGTCTCTCGGTGGAGCAGGACGGGTCACAGCAGCAGAGGTGGAGTAGTCTCTGGGTGGAGCAGGACGGGTCACAGCAGCAGAGATGGAGCAGCCACTGGGTGGAGCAGGACGGGTCACAGCAGCAGAGGTGGAGTAGTCTCTGTGTGTGTATATGTGTATTTCAATGGTTTTGTTAAGTCCACTGAGATTACTTCTGTTCTCAGAGGACTCTAAGTTGGTTTAGGTCTTACCTTGAAGACAGGAAGTACTTTGTGGAGATTGGAAACTGTGTCTCAGATCATATGGCCCTGACCTGTGGAGTACCACAGGGGTCGATCCTGGGACCTCTTCTGTTCAATCTCTACATGCTGCCGTTAAGTCAGTTAATACGCAGAAACGACGTTTCCTATCATAACTATGCAGACGACACTCAGATCTATGTCTCACTGACTGCAGGAGAACATGGACCAGTGGACTCACTCCTTCACTGTATCCAACAGATCAGTGAGTGGATGCAAAACAACTTCCTTCAGCTAAACGCAGACAAAACTGAAATGATTGTCTTTGGTCCCCAGAAACAAAGAGAGAGCGTCATCTGTCATCTACAGTCTCTCTCCCTAAAACCTTCAAACAAGGTCAGAAATCTAGGGGTAATACTGGACTCAGACTTAAATTTTAATAGCCACATCAAATCAGTAACATCAGCAGCTTTTTACCATCTAAAAAACATTGCCAGGATCAAAAACATAGTGTCTAAAGCAGACTTGGAGATTCTTATCCATGCATTTGTCTCCAGTAGGTTAGACTACTGCAATGGCCTGCTCACAGGTCTGTCCAAACAGGCTGTAAAACAGCTGCAGTACATTCAAAATGCAGCAGCTCCAGTCCTGACTAGAACCAGGAAGTACGACCACATTAGTCCTGACTAGAACCAGGAAGTACGACCACATTAGTCCTGACTAGAACCAGGAAGTACAACCATATACGGCGGCACGGTGGCTGAGTGGATAGCACTCTCGCCTCTCAGCAAGAAGGTCCTGGGTTCGAATCCCGGTCGGACCAGGGCCTTTCTGAGTGGAGTTTGCATGTTCTCCCCGTGTCTGCGTAGGTTTCCTCCGGGTACTCCGGTTTCCCCTACCACTAAAAATATGTCCAATAGGCATGTCTGGCATGTGCCTCCTGTACTGGCCCCGCTCCCATCTCTGTGTGGAGTGAGAGACAAATGCCCATAATTAACAATTGTAAACCGCTTTGAGACTCAGATCTGCAGTGAAAAGGCGGTATATAAATAAAGATTACTTACTACTTACTTACTAGTCCTGACTAGAACCAGGAAGTACGACCACATTAGTCCTGACTAGTACCAGGAAGTACGACCACATTAGTCCTGACTAGAACCAGGAAATACGACCACATTAGTCCAGTCCTCAGGTCTCTGCACTGGCTTCCTGTGGCTCAGAGAATAGACTTTAAAACAGCTCTGCTTGTTACAAGTCTCTCCATAGCCTCGTACCAAAATATATTAGTGACATGTTAGTCCCATATGAACCAGCCCGGACTCTGAGGAGCACAGGGACTGGCCTCCTGCTGGGACTCTGAGGAGCACAGGGACTGGACTCCTGCTGGGACTCTGAGGAGCACAGGGACTGGCCTCCTGCTGGGACTCTGAGGAGCACAGGGACTGGACTCCTGCTGGGACTCTGAGGAGCACAGGGACTAGACTCCTGCTGGGACTCTGAGGAGCACAGGGACTGGACTCCTGCTGGGACTCTGAGGAGCACAGGGACTGGACTCCTGCTGGGACTCTGAGGAGCACAGGGACTGGACTCCTGCTGGGACTCTGAGGAGCACAGGGACTGGACTCCTGTTAGTGCCCAGAGTCAGAACTAAACATGGGGAGGCTGCTTTTCAGATTCATGCTGCTAAAATCTGGAACAGTCTTCCTGAAGATGTGAGACAGGCCTCCTCTCTGACAATGTTTAAAACCAGGTTAAAGACAGTTCTGTTTAGCTGTGCTACAACTGAGGGATTTTATATTTTTATCTTTCTTTTTAACGTTCTGTGATTATTTATGATTTTAATGCTTTCTTGTTTTGTTCAGCACTTTGAGTTGCTTTGAGCATGAATTGTGCTATACAAATAAACTTGGCTTGTTCTGATTTAGGGCGATACAAGAATAAATTGTATTGTATGTATATGTATGTGTGCATGAGTATGTCATGTCATTTTCTATGCATTTCTGGGTCGGGGGGTAGTCCCTCTGATCCTCTGCAGGTGTTGGGTCCACAGGAAGATGGCTTCTCTGTCATCCAAGACATGGCCTTGGTCTTTCAGCGGGGGCTTCCGGCAAAGTGGGGTTAAGTGTCTTGCCCAGGGACACAACGGCAGCAGACATTAGTGGGAGCAGATGACATGGGTCATGGTGGGATCAAACCCACGAACATTGGGTCCAAAGACCAGTGCTCTACCAACTGAGCAGTGTGTATGTGTTTATATATTTATGTATGTATGTAGGTATATATGTACAGTATATGTATTTGTGTACATTTTGTGTACACTCCCTGGACCTGGACCACCACTCCCTGGACCTGGACCTGGATTTGGACTACTCCCTGGACCTGGACCCAGATTTGGACTACCCCCTGGACCTGGACCCAGATTTGGTCTACTCCCTGGACCTGGACCCAGATTTGGACTACTCCCTGGACCTGGACCCGGATTTGGACTACTCCCTGGACCTGGACCCAGATTTGGACTACTCCCTGGACCTGGACCCAGATTTGGTCTACTCCCTGGACCTGGACCCAGATTTGGTCTACTCCCTGGACCTGGACCCAGATTTGGTCTACTCCCTGGACCTGGACCCAGATTTGGACTACTCCCTGGACCTGGACCCAGATTTGGACTACTCCCTGGACCTGGACCCAGATTTGGACTACTCCCTGGACCTGGACCCGGATTTGGACTACTCCCTGGACCTGGACCCAGATTTGGTCTACTCCCTGGACCTGGACCCAGATTTGGTCTACTCCCTGGACCTGGACCCAGATTTGGACTACTCCCTGGACCTGGACCCAGATTTGGACTACTCCCTGGACCTGGACCCAGATTTGGACTACTCCCTGGACCTGGACCCAGATTTGGACTACTCCCTGGACCTGGACCCAGATTTGGACTACTCCCTGGACCTGGACCCATATTTGGACTACTCCCTGGACCTGGACCCAGATTTGGACTACTCCCTGGACCTGGACCCAGATTTGGACTACTCCCTGGACCTGGACCCGGATTTGGACTACTCCCTGGACCTGGACCCAGATTTGGTCTACCCCCTGGACCTGGACCCAGATTTGGACTACTCCCTGGACCTGGACCCGGATTTGGACTACTCCCTGGACCTGGACCCAGATTTGGACTACTCCCTGGACCTGGACCCAGATTTGGTCTACTCCCTGGACCTGGACCCAGATTTGGACTACTCCCTGGACCTGGACCCAGATTTGGACTACTCCCTGGACCTGGACCCAGATTTGGTCTACTCCCTGGACCTGGACCCAGATTTGGACTACTCCCTGGACCTGGACCCATATTTGGACTACTCCCTGGACCTGGACCCGGATTTGGACTACTCCCTGGACCTGGACCCAGATTTGGTCTACTCCCTGGACCTGGACCCAGATTTGGACTACTCCCTGGACCTGGACCCGGATTTGGACTACTCCCTGGACCTGGACCCAGATTTGGACTACTCCCTGGACCTGGACCCAGATTTGGTCTACTCCCTGGACCTGGACCCGGACCACTCCCTCAGCCCTTTTTCTTGGAAACACATGGTCCTTTCTTTCATTTCTAACCATAATTAAAACAAATTAAACCCTTGCAGACTTTAACACAAACACAACAGTAAGTAGTAGTAGTAAGTAAGTATTTATTTATATACCGCCTTTTCACTGCAGATCTGAGTCTCAAAGCGGTTTACAATTGTTAATTTTTTGTGCATTAGTCTCTCACTCCACATAGAGATGGGAGCGGGGTCGCCAGTACAGGAGGCGCATGCTAGAACTATTGGACATATTTTTAGTGGTAGGGGAAACCGGAGTACCCGGAGGAAACCTACGCAGACACGGGGAGAACATGCAAACTCCACTCAGAAAGGCCCTGGTCCGACCGGGATTCGAACCCAGGACCTTCTTGCTGAGAGGCGAGAGTGCTATCCACTCAGCCACCGTGCAACAGAAATGAGCCACTTTCTCGTTTCTCTCAGACAGAATCAGTGTTTATTGCTGAGCCTTCACTCGTCAGAGATGATGTCAGTGTCTCCATGGCAACCCTTCTTACACATCACCTCGCGCCGCATCCGTTAGAGTAACACTCGAGTTCTCATCAACGCGAAGCCCCAATCTGTGTCCTCGTTTCTACTGTTCACTCAGAACGGAAGCATTGTACCATCTGAGCGTCCAATATGGTACTGTACATGTATGTGGAAGGACCATGGAGTATAGAAGTATCATATACAGAGTACTGTACATGTATGTGGAAGTACCATGAGCATCCTGGAGTATGCATTTGTCTCACTAGTAGTAGTAGTAGTAGTAGTAGTAGTAGTAGTAGTAGTCATGGTGTGGAATTTACTGTATATAAAGAATTAATATTGTGTATAGATAAATTAATACAAATCCACACCATGGAATCTCTCTCTCCAGTCTCTCCTCTCTCTCTCTGGTCTGTCTCTCTCGCTAGTCTCTCCTCTCTCTCTCTCTGGTCTGTCTCTCTCGCTAGTCTCTCCTCTCTCTCTCTCTGGTCTGTCTCTCTCGCTAGTCTCTCCTCTCTCTCTCTCTGGTCTGCCTCTCTCTCTAGTCTCTCCTCTCTCTCTCTCTGGTCTGTCTCTCTCTCTAGTCTCTCCTCTCTCTCTCTCTGGTCTATCTCTCTCTCTAGTATCTTCTCTCTTTCTCTGGTCTGGACTCTTTCTGTCTCTCTCTCTCTCCAGGCTCTCTCTTTCTGGTCTCTCTCTCTATTTGGTCTCTCACTCTCTGTTATCTTTTTATCTTTCTCTGGCCTGGTCTCTCTCTAGTCTCTCTCCGGTCTCTCTCCCTCCGGTCTCTCTGTCCGGTCCCTCTCTCTCCAGTCTCTCTCTCCGGTCTCTCTGTCCGGTCCCTCTCTCTCCAGTCTCTCTCTCCGGTCTCTCTCCCTCCGGTCCCTCTCCCTCCGGTCCCTCTCCCTCCGGTCTCTCTCCCTCCGGTCTCTCTCTCTCACCTTCCTCCGGATACTGTATATTTAAATTTTTTATTTTTTTTTGTATCCGTTAAATAGTTTAAAACTGTAAATCCTCACACAGATTCAAATTCAAGTAAACTTTTCTCAGTCTATATTTAGTCTGAGTCATTGTGGAATCAGTAAGAATCAGAGCCAAAGTTGAGTTCCGTGCAGAGCTGCAGAGTGTGTGGCTGGAGGTCGCACTGTTTTCAGGTCCCATCAGTTCATCCACGAGACCGATACAAAAGGACAATTTGACTAAAAACAAATCTTTAGCAGAGGTTACAAAATGGGAACATTCACTTAGACCAGGGGTGTCTAAACTTTAGTGAGAGGGCCACTTTAGTTCATCAGACTTGACCTGGGCAGACAACCTGGATTTAAAAACTGGATTGACTGGATTCTGGATTATACTTTGGGTTATGATGCCTCCTTATGGATCCACAGCTGCATTTTAATTGAAATGTTGGGACAATAAAGTCAACAACTGGATTCCAGAGAGTCTGAGATTCACAACAAGGTATAGCATGACTGTATTGGTGGAGCTGAAGTTGGTTGGATGACATTATCAAAGTGACTAAATGGCGACTTTGTGTTAGCAGCAGAAGGGCCACAGAAAATAGAACAGAGGGACGCAATTGGCCCGCGGGCCTGAGTTTGGACTTGCCTGACTCAGACTATTCTTTCATATTAGCGTGTGCAGACAGTATTTACAGGTTCTGTCGTCTGCGGAGGATGAAGAGGATGAAGAGGATGAAGAGGCTGAAGAGGATGAAGAGGATGAAGAGGAACACAACAATCGTGTAAATAGCAGTGTGGAACATTACGAACACATATGGAGGTCTCGTATGGAGGTCTCGTATGGAGGTCTCGTATGGAGGTCTTGTATGGAGGTCTCGTATGGAGGTCTCGTATGGAGGTCTCGTATGGAGGTCTCATATGGAGGTCTCGTATGGAGGTCTCGTATGGAGGTCTCGTATGGAGGTCTCGAATGGAGGTCTCTTATGGAGGTCTCATATGGAGGTCTCGTATGGAGGTCTCGTATGGAGGTCTCGAATGGAGGTCTCTTATGGAGGTCTCGTATGGAGGTCTCGTATGGAGGTCTCGTATGGAGGTCTCGTATGGAGGTCTCGTATGGAGGTCTCGTATGGAGGTCTCGTCGTTCTCGTGTGAAGAGCAGAGGATCAGCTGCACATGAACCAAACAGAACAATGTCATTTATGCTTCTGTTCTTTCTGTTCTGCAGGATCTACTCTACTCTACTCTACCCTACCCTACTCTACTCTACTCTACTCTACTCTACCCTACCCTACTCTACCCTACCCTACCCTACTCTACCCTACCCTACTCTACTCTACTCTACTCTACCCTACCCTACTCTACCCTACCCTACTCTACTCTACCCTACTCTACCCTACCCTACCCTACTCTACCCTACCCTACTCTACTCTACTCTACTCTACTCTACCCTACCCTACTCTACCCTACCCTACTCTACTCTACCCTACTCTACTCTACTCTACTCTACTCTACTCTACCCTACTCTACCCTACCCTACTCTACTCTACTCTACTCTACTCTACTCTACCCTACTCTACTCTACTCTACTCTACCCTACTCTACTCTACCCTACCCTACCCTACTCTACCCTACCCTACCCTACCCTACCCTACTCTACTCTACCCTACTCTACCCTACCCTACTCTACTCTACTCTACCCTACCCTACCCTACTCTACTCTACCCTACTCTACTCTACTCTACTCTACTCTACTCTACTCTACTCTACTCTAATCTGTCATCATTAAAGGGCCCTAATCTGTCATAAAACATGGTCTTTTCCAATCCTTTAACTGATAACAGTAGTTCAGAGATATTTGAATTTCTAAATTAGTTCTCCAGCCCCTTAATCTTGTTATTGTTTTCATTTCGATGTCCCGCCCTCCACCGTTTCACCAATCAGAAAGTCTGTGATCCGGGCGCCAGAACTCACCGCGTGGAGCTAATATCACTGGTAAAGTACCATGTGGCACAGAACTAAAAAAGGTCTCGTTATGATTCTCAAATCATTAACGACAAAACATGGAATAAAACCAGGATTTCTATCTTTGTGAAAAAGGTGTTGGTTATAGATTTGTTGTTGACAAAACTCTTGTCTATTCAGCTGTTATGGTCCCAGCTGGATTCGTCTGCATATCTGGCAACCTGAGTCAGGGAGAGTGGGAGAGGCTGCAGTACCACTTTTGGACACATGTTTTATTGGTCCCACAGTGAGGAAATGTCAGTGTTGTATGACCAGTTACACAGCAGTAGGAGCACACAGCACAAGATACATGAACAATAACTCTAACCCAAACCCTAAAATAAAATAACGTCTATAACTCTAGCTTTAGCATAAGTAGAAATCCGTAAGTGACAGTGGACAGTGACACATGTGGTGCTTCCGTTTTGCATGTTCTGCCTGTGTCTGTGATGTCTGAGCTGGACTTCTCTTATGAAAACAAAGGTTGAGTATTTGTTTTTCCTGCATGTCTCAGACTCATTCCGCACATCTCATTATCACAGCTGTATTGGCTTTGATTATTCCAGGTTCCTAATGAACGTGTTTATGCAGAATTACACTCTGGCCACCAGGGGGCCGGGATCAAAATCCTCCATTGATGATTTTAAAACAACCTGGGTCTGTTTTTTTAACGATGAGCAACATTATAAATGGGTCAAAACAAAAGCGCAGCAGAGTTTAGTCTAATATTTCCGGTGACTTTCCTTTTGTCGCAGGAAACTGGTCTGGTTTGAGTTTTCCTCCAGCATCAGGAGGAGACTGATTGTGACATCGCTCCTTGGGCCAGAAGTGCTGCTCGGTGCAATAAGGCGCTGGAATCAGAAAGTGCTCAGACCCGGTGTGAGGAAAGAAAATGGATCTGAGGAGAAACAGGAGAGGGCTTCCCCAAAAGGCCTTTACAGAAGGCAGCAACACAACATGCTTCTTATACCACGCAATAGTCGCACAAAACAGTATTTTAACCCAAACTTAAAATCTTTAAAGTAGCAATATGTCAGATTTTCATGTCAAGTCATCATTAAAGGGCCCTAATCTGTCATAATTAAAGGGCCCTAATCTGTTATCACTAAAGGGCCCTAATCTGTCATAATTAAAGGGCCATAATCTGTCATCATTAAAGGGCCCTTGTCAGTCGTCATTAAAGGGCCCTAATCTGACATCATTAAAGGGCCATACTCTGTCATCATTAAAGGGCCCTAGTCTGTCATCATTAAAGGGCCCTAATCTGTCCTCATTAAAGGGCCCTGATCTGTCATCATTAAAGGGCCCTAATCTGTCATCAATAAAAGGCCCTAATCTGTCATCATTAAAGGGGCCTAATCTGTCATTATTAAAGGGCCCTAATCTGTCATCATTCAAGGGCCCTAGTCTGTCATCATTAAAGGGCCATAATCTGACATCATTAAAGGGCCATAATATGTCATCATTGAAGGGGCCTAATCTGTCATCATTAAAGGGCCCTAATCTGTCATCATTCAAGGGCCCTAGTCTGTCATCATTAAAGGGCCCTAATCTGACACCATTAAAGGGCCATAATCTGTCATCATTTAAGGGCCATAATCATCATTAAAGGGCCATAATCTGTCATCATTAAAGGGCCATAATCTGTCATCATTAAAGGTCCCTAATCTGTCATCATCAAAGGGCCCTAATCTGTCATCATTAAAGGGCATAATCTGTCATCATTAAAGGGCCATAATCTGTCATCATTAAAGGGCCATAATCTGTCATCATGAAAGGGCCCTAATCTGTCATCATTAAAGGGCCCTAATCCGTCATCATTAAAGGGCCCTTATCAGTCATCATTAAAGGATTAAATCGTCTCAATCTGCAAAAGGAGTTAACCCCTCCCACCTGTTAACGGAGTCAATAGAGCAAATCCAGACCTTAGTACGAAATGAAATGAGTACAATGGTGTGGTAAGACCGGGCTACATCTACTGTGCTGTTGAATACATCTGTTGCCTTGTAATATTTTGTACGTGTTTACTGAATGTTCTGGGATCGGAACCACTCCCTCCATGTTCATAATAACCCTAACCTTCAGCCCTGAGCCAAACTGCCTTACGGCTCTGTCACACCTGAATGGTGATGGAACCGGTTTCCATGTGTCTGGCTCCATAAAACCCAAGTGGACTCGGAGTTCTCCAGTTTCCACGAGCGTCTGGTAAACGTCTCAGGTGCAGCTCACACACGCGTGACTCGCTCGACACGTGACACGGGAAAACATCTGTAAAGTGGTCACTGTTGGTCTGGACTTTCTTATCTGCTGCCACTACAGGAGCCTCCGGGCCAGGACCAGGACCAGGACCAGGACCAGAGCCAGGAGCTGGGAGACGTCACACTCCTGACCCCTCACCCTGTCCAAGCCCATTACATGCACTTTAAAGTAATGTAATTGAATGTATGTACAGTATAAACTAGCAGTAGCAGCTTTGTACAGTCTCAGTTATATGCATATGTCTCTGTGTTGTCGACTGGTTCGATGCTAAACTGAATTTTGTTGAATTTTTCTGACTTTGTAATGACAATAAAGTTGAATCTAGTCTAAACAAACCCCCCGCCCCCCGACCAATCGAGTGTGATCTCAGTGTGACATCACGGACGGTATATTTAGAACTGGGACGTTTCCAGACATCGATACGACACCGTGAACTTGTGTTTTTGATCTCAAAGATGACTTTGGGTCATCCATGCAGAGGGCCACAGTTTGGACGTGCCTTATTTAGATTTATCTGTCTGTCTGTCTGTCTATCTATCTATCTATGTGTCTATCTATCTATCTATCTATCTATATATGTATATCTGTCTATCTATCTATCTATCTATCTATCTATCTATCTATCTATCTATCTATGTGTCTATCTATCTATCTATTTATCTATCTGTCTATCTATCTATCTATCTGTCTATCTATCTATCTATCTATCTATCTATCTATCTATCTATCTATCTATCTATCTATCTATCTGTCTGTCTAATTAAATTCAACTGCAGCGGAGTGTGTGATGTATTTCTCCAGGGAATAGAACCTCAGTCTCTTGTTGTCGTCCTGCACATGGGCACAAGGGCCGGGTTGACGTCAGGGCGCCAGGTTTGTTTCCTTTTTTCCCAGAATCCCTCCTAAAGCACACACAAGGCCTCTCCGGGGATCAGGGCCAAACCAACAGTCCTGGGTCAGAATGTCTATTGGTTGTTTTGTATACATTTCATTTTCCTCTGAAGATGTGATTATGGAATGTGTTTTTGTGTAAAGTAAGTTACAAGTTGTTGATTCTCCAACAGCAGATAAGAGAATCAAACCGTTTGCACGCAGGAAATAGAATAATACAAACTCATAAAAGCCATGTCCATAAATGTCCCGGATTATCACTGTCTAGATCCAGGACTGAGGCTGTAGATCCAGGACTGAGGCTGTAGATCCAGGACTGAGGCTGTAGACCCAGGACTGAGGCTGTAGACCCAGGACTGAGGCTGTAGACCCAGGACTGAGGCTGTAGACCCAGGACCGAGGCTGTAGATCCAGGACTGAGGCTGTAGACCCAGGACTGAGGCTGTAGACCCAGGACTGAGGCTGAGACCCAGGGCTGAGGCTGTAGACCCAGGGCTGAGGCTGTAGACCCAGGACTGAGGCTGTAGACCCAGGACTGAGGCTGTAGATCCAGGACTGAGGCTGTAGACCCAGGACTGAGGCTGTAGACCCAGGACTGAGGCTGTAGACCCAGGACTGAGGCTGTAGACCCAGGACCGAGGCTGTAGATCCAGGACTGAGGCTGTAGACCCAGGACTGAGGCTGTAGACCCAGGACTGAGGCTGTAGACCCAGGGCTGAGGCTGTAGACCCAGGGCTGAGGCTGTAGACCCAGGACTGAGGCTGTAGACCCAGGACTGAGGCTGTAGATCCAGGACTGAGGCTATAGACCCAGGACTGAGGCTGTAGACCCAGGACCGAGGCTGTAGATCCAGGACTGAGGCTGTAGACCCAGGACTGAGGCTGTAGACCCAGGACTGAGGCTGTAGATCCAGGACTGAGGCTGTAGATCCAGGGCTGAGGCTGTAGATCCAGGGCTGAGGCTGTAGACCCAGGACTGAGGCTGTAGACCCAGGGCTGAGGCTGTAGATCCAGGACTGAGGCTGTAGATCCAGGACTGAGGCTGTAGATCCAGGACTGAGGCTGTAGATCCAGGACTGAGGCTGTAGACCCAGGACTGAGGCTGTAGATCCAGGACTGAGGCTGTAGATCCAGGACTGAGGCTGTAGATCCAGGACTGAGGCTGTAGATCCAGGGCTGAGGCTGTAGACCCAGGACTGAGGCTGTAGACCCAGGACTGAGGCTGTAGATCCAGGACTGAGGCTGTAGATTCAGGACTGAGGCTGTAGATCCAGGACTGAGGCTGTAGATCCAGGACTGAGGCTGTAGACCCATGACTGAGGCTGTAGACTCAGGACTGAGGCTGTAGACCCAGGACTGAGGCTGTAGATCCAGGACTGAGGCTGTAGACCCAGGACTGAGGCTGTAGATCCAGGACTGAGGCTGTAGATCCAGGACTGAGGCTGTAGATCCAGGACTGAGGCTGTAGACCCAGGACTGAGGCTGTAGACCCAGGGCTGAGGCTGTAGACCCAGGACTGAGGCTGTAGATCCAGGGCTTCTTTAAAACACCTACATTTCTATGTTCATTGAATAAGTGTTTTGTGTGAGGAGAGCTGAGCCAATATTGTGCACGTGTTGCTAATGCTAACAGTTGTGTATTTGTGGTGAAACAGCAGCCAGCATGAGTCCACTGTCCTGAGCCTCTCCTTAAACAACACTCTTTTTGTCCCAGCTGGGGATCCTTATTTCCAATCACAAAGTGGATGTAATAATAACAATAATAATAATAATAATAATAAAAACAGTCGAAGCCATTATTCTTCCACTCCAAACACAGAAGTGATAAACTACAAGTATAAGGACGGACATAGCCTCTGGTGTTGACTGTAAACAAATGCCACACACTAAGAACACAGATCCAAACATTCTCTGACCCTACAGTTCCTACTCCCAAACCAGTCCTGCTGAAGACCAGGAGGAGCCCGAGGCCTGTCCCACTGACCCTGGTCCGCCTGAATGTCCCACAGAGGTGTCAAAAGCTCTCAGCTCAGTGCCAAAGTCCTTCATCACGGATCCTCTCTAATCAAAACAACATACCACAGGCAGGACCAGGACCAGGACCGAGACCAAGGTCAGGGCCAGGACAGAGACCAGGACCAGGACCGAGACCAGGACCAGGACCAGGACCAGGTAGAGACGCACGGACTGCGCGGCAAAGATGCAGGAGCGGAAAATCGACGCAAGCAGGAGATAAATATTGCTTCCTCGGGACGGTCGTGCAGAGTGGTCTGAGCGAGCAGACTGAACACACTGTAAACCGCCAAAACAGGAGCTACACCAGGACTAAACCAGGACTAAACCAGGACTAAACCAGGATTAAAACCAGGACAAAAACCAGGACTAAAACCAGGACTAAACCAGGACTAAACCAGGATTAAATCAGGACTACACCGGGACTAAACCAGGACTAAACCAGGACTACACAAGGACTACACAAGGACTAAACCAGGACTAAACCAGGACTAAAACCAGGGTTGACAATGGAGGACATAGTGCTTGTGAACATTAGAGTTTTCATGCTCCCGTGACTTTATGCAACTGCTTCGAGTGTGTTCGCCGATGCAGAAATACTGTTTGATAATAAAATAAACGCATGGCGCACCTCCGTGAACACATACTGCTGTTATATAAAGTCACCTCCGTGAACACATACTGCTGTTATATAAAGTCACCTCCATGAACACATACTGCTGTTATATAAAGTCACCTCCATGAACACATACTGCTGTTATATAAAGTCACCTCCGTGAACACATACTGCTGTTATATAAAGTCACCTCCATGAACACATACTGCTGTTATATAAAGTCACCTCCATGAACACATACTGCTGTTATATAAAGTCACCTCCGTGAACACATACTGCTGTTATATAAAGTCACCTCCGTGAACACACACTGCTGTTATATAAAGTTATTAGCTCTAAATCCACCAGATTGTAGCTAGTTTGTAGATTCAGAGAGATCCACAGTCTGTAGATCCACAGTCTGTAGATCCACAGTCTGTAGATCCACGGTCTGTAGATCCACGGTCTGTAGATCCACGGTCTGTAGATCCACAGTCTGTAGATCCACGGTCTGTAGATCCACAGTCTGTAGATCCACGGTCTGTAGATCCACGGTCTGTAGATCCACGGTCTGTAGATCATCGGTCTGTAGATCCACAGTCTGTAGATCCACAGTCTGTAGATCCAGAGTCTGTAGATCCTCGGTCTGTAACTGTCCTGGATGTTTTCTTTGGGAGTAGAGTTTGTTTTTCCTCTGCTCTTGCCCCACAGCTCCGTGAGGTTGGACAGGTGCCAACTCAAACAGCTCGCCTCACCCCTCCCCTTCCTCACCCCTACTCACCCCCTTCCCCTCCTCACCCCTCCCCTTCCTCACCCCTACTCACCCCCTCCTCACCCCCTGCCCCCTCCTCACCCCTCCTCACCCCCTCCTCACCCCCTGCCCCCTCCTCACCCCTCCTCACCCCCTCCTCACCCCTCCTCACCCCCTGCCCCCTCCTCACCCCTCCTCACCCCCTCCTCACCCCTCCCCTTCCTCATCCCTCCTCACCCCCTCCTCACCCCTCCTCACCCCCTTCCCCTCCTCACCCCCTCCTCACCCCCTCCTCACCCCCTGCCCCCCCTCACCCCTCCTCACCCTCTGCCCCCTTCTCAGACTTAAACTGAGGGAAAAGAAAAGTTAGTTTTTTCATCTTTAACTCGAGAGACCAAAGGATAAAGGGACCTCTGATCCTGAGCTTTGGGTCATGATCTGAAGAACGAGATAAAGGCAGTCAAAATGACTCCTCCACAGAGGGCTGGGGGCTCCCTCAGAGAAAGGGTGAGGGGCAGCTGTCTAGAGGCCTCCTGGATGTCTCCCTGAAGAGGTGTTGGGGTCCGTCCCACCGCGAGGAGGTCCCAGGACCCGGTACAGAGAGATTCCCCTGGAGCAGTGGAGAAGGACATCTAGATTAAGGTCAGCGCCTCCTCGACCCGGCAACGGATAAAGTGGAAGAAAGAGGTGCTTTAAAATAATCATAACTGTTCATGCCTGAACTGTTTCATTTACATTGTATTTGTTGTTGCCAAAGTGAGTCTGCACTGAACTAAACCTTTAGAAGAAATGAGTAATAATGAATTATAAATATTCTCCAGGTCTGACTTTGTGAGAACGATCCCAAAAGAAGAACAAGAACTAAATTAAACCTGGAACATGTTTCCTCGATTATAAAAACTATTAAACTCAGACTCTGGTTCAGTCGGATCGACACCGGTGTCATCCTCAGTCCAGATGTTATTGACTCAAATGTGTGTTTTATCCACCAGATTTGTAGGAAAACAAGACCAGCTCCGAGCCTGGAGTGGATAAAGAGGTCCCGGTGGATAAAGAGGTCAGGGCAGGGGTCGTCCTGGTCCGGAACAGAGTGACACCGAGGTCACCGTGCCGCGGCTCACACACATTTGGCAAAACAACTGACAACTCAACTTTCACATCCTATTTACACTTTGGGACATTTGGACTTTGTCTCTCGGTGGATTCTTTATGATAGATTTAAAAACAAAATGTATTACTGTAACATTTGAGGTGAGAATATTTCCCTCTCTGTAGATTCAGAAATGTGCAAAATTATCTTTATCCTGAAATTATCAAAAAAAAGATATAATCCGTGAGTGTCTCCATTAAATAACATGGGAACCATTTAGCTGATCAAAAATCTGAAGCTAACTTTAGATGCTGCACTTGTTTTGAGGCTGTAGACCCAGGACTGAGGCTGTAGACCCAGGACTGAGGCTGTGGATCCAGGACTGAGGCTGTAGACCCAGGACTAAGGCTGTAGACCCAGGACTAAGGCTGTAGACCCAGGACTAAGGCTGTAGACCCAGGACTAAGGCTGTAGACCCAGGACTAAGGCTGTAGACCCAGGACTAAGGCTGTAGACCCAGGACTAAGGCTGTAGACCCAGGACTAAAGCTGTAGACCCAGGACTGAGGCTGTAGACCCAGGACCGAGGCTGTAGACCCAGGACTGAGGCAGTAGACCCAGGACTGAGGAGGTAGACCCAGGAATGAGCCCTGTTTCCAGAGCAAGGTGTAAACTGGAAGTCAATAGGAGCCAGAGAGAGTTGGAGCAAAACTTTGTCCATGAGCACTTCCCCATTAGCCGCTTTGGAGCTCGTCGGCTTGCACTGTACATTAGTGTAAGTAAGTTCTCTTTGCTTATAGAGCCACAAATTGCTCTATAATTGTTCTGACATGTGTCTCTTTCTCACACACAGAGATGGGAGTGACCTATGCCAGACCTATTGTACATGTTTCTAGTGTTAGGGAAAACCGGAGCACCTGGAGGAAACCTACGCAGGCACGGGTAGAACATGCAAACTCCACACAGAACGATCTGGAGGTGGCTGGAACCCTGGACTTTGCTTCCTCCTGTTTATAGAAGAACAAATCTGTCTATTTGTCCATCTTTACACAGTCTCTGAGTTAAAACAGTGAAACTTTCTGGTTTTCGCTCCGTGGGAATAAAAACAGCCAAAAACGTGTGTCCTGAGGCTTCTTCCTGATTCTAAACTCGACCATTTTTACAACACTTTGGCTCGGGCTGGTCCCTGCGGGGTGGGGGCTTCTCCGTCACCTGCTCCGTGCTTTTGTGGAGGACTCTGTCACCGACGCCGCTTCTGCACATTTCACTTTAATTCAGGTTTTTTCACGTGGAATAATGAAGTAGAAAGTAGGTGGATGCACATGTGTTCGGGACGGAGAGGAAAAGAGGTGTCGGTGAAGGATCTGTGAGGGAAGAACTGGGATAAACTACATTCTGTTTGGTTCTTTTTTCTAAACGTCAAAAACAGGAGGTAAATAATGGTGTTTTACTGTAGAAACTCTAAAAACTGATTTGAAGGTAAAACATTTTTTGCCCAAGATGTGAGACTGAGGATCCTGGGTCTACAGCCTCAGTCCTGGATCTACAGCCTCAGTCCTGGGTCTACAGCCTCAGTCCTGGGTCTACAGCCTCAGTCCTGGGTCTACAGCCTCAGTCCTGGGTCTACAGCCTCAGTCCTGGGTCTACAGCCTCAGTCCTGGGTCTACAGCCTCAGTCCTGGGTCTACAGCCTCAGTCCTGGGTCTACAGCTTCAGTCCTGGGTCTACAGCCTCAGTCCTGGGTCTACAGCTTCAGTCCTGGGTCTACAGCCTCAGTCCTGGGTCTACAGCCTCAGTCCTGGGTCTACAGCCTCAGTCCTGGGTCTACAGCCTCAGTCCTGGATCTACAGCCTCAGTCCTGGGTCTACAGCCTCAGTCCTGGGTCTACAGCTTCAGTCCTGGGTCTACAGCCTCAAAACAAGAGCAGAATCTGAAGTTAGCTTCTGATTTTTGATCAGCTAAATGGAGACACACGCAGAAAAACAAAACCATTTTGCAACATTTATTTATTTATTTGAGCAGACATTTAAACAGCAACAAGAAAAGAACAGACGACAACAACAACAATAACGGCACAAAAACACTACAGGAAAGATGACAGGATGTATGGAAACCCCACAAAGTAAGAAGACAAAAACAATAAAAACACAAAGTTAATAAAGTGAAGAAGTAAAATAAAAATAACAAAAACAAACAGACAAATGTATAACTCTGAACTTTTCTTAGAAAGTTTTCTCTGAGGACTTCACAAAACTGTTAAAGTCACCAACACTCATGAGAGGAGTCTTAGTCTGGGCCTCTAAGAGCTGAGTCTGGGCCTCTAAGAACTGAGTCTGGGCCTCTGGGCCTCTAAGAACTGAGTCTGGGCCTCTGGGCCTCTCAGAGCAGAGTCTGGGCCTCTCAGAGCTGAGTCTGGGCCTCTCAGAGTAGAGTCTGGGCCTCTCAGAGCTGAGTCTGGGCCTCTCAGAGCTGAGTCTGGACCTCTCTGAGTCTGGGCCTCTCTGAGTCTGGGCCTCTCAGAGCTGAGTCTGGACCTCTCTGAGTCTGGGCATCTCAGAGCAGAGCCTGGGCCTCTCAGAGCTGAGTCTGGGCCTCTCAGAGCTGAGTCTGGGCCTCTGGGCCTCTAAGAGCTGAGTCTGGGCCTCTGGGCCTCTCAGAGCTGAGTCTGGGCCTCTCAGAGCAGAGTCTGGGCCTCTCAGAGCAGAGTCTGGGCCTCTCAGAGCAGAGTCTGGGCCTCTCAGAGCTGAGTCTGGGCCTCTCAGAGCAGAGTCTGGGCCTCTCAGAGCTGAGTCTGGGCCTCTCAGAGCTGAGTCTGGGCCTCTCAGAGCTGAGTCTGGGCCTCTCAGAGCTGAGCCTGGGCCTCTCAGAGCAGAGTCTGGGCCTCTCAGAGCTGAGTCTGGGCCTCTCAGAGCTGAGTCTGGGCCTCTCAGAGCTGAGCCTGGGCCTCTCAGAGCAGAGTCTGGGCCTCTCAGAGCTGAGCCTGGGCCTCTCAGAGCAGAGTCTGGGCCTCTCAGAGCAGAGTCTGGGCCTCTCAGAGCAGAGTCTGGGCCTCTCAGAGCTGAGTCTGGGCCTCTAAGAGCTGAGTCTGGGCCTCTCATAGCAGAGTCTGGGCCTCTCAGAGCAGAGTCTGGGCCTCTCAGAGCAGAGTCTGGGCCTCTCAGAGCAGAGTCTGGGCCTCTCAGAGCAGAGTCTGGGCCTCTCAGAGCAGAGTCTGGGCCTCTCAGAGCTGAGTCTGGGCCTCTCAGAGCAGAGTCTGGGCCTCTCAAGGCGCGTTCAGACCAAAAGCTTCAAAAAGCTTTTGACGCGCTTCAACTGACGCCGGGATAGTTTTGTCATTTTGGTGCTTGAAGCTTTTGACGCGAGTGACGCGCCTGACGCCGGTGGGAGGAGCTTCTCTGTTGCCTGTAGTCAGGACAGCGGTGGATTTTTCAATGAGCAGCGAGCCTTTATTTGTTATATAAAGCAAAATAACGTTGTTGTAGGGCTTCAACAAAACATGTTCTGGGTTCACCACAGACTGAGGCTGCAGTGTTTGCAGAGTTCCGTCATTTACTCCAGGAGCTGCGTACGGAGGAGTTTCGCTTTCAGCGGTACTTCCGCATGTCACTCGCCCAGTCTGAGTTCTCAAACCCCGGAGCTCGCGTCTCCCCGCCTCGCTCTCGCCTCTCCCTGCCTCTCCCTGCCTCTCCCCGCTCTCGCTCGCCTCTCCTGCCTCCCCCTGCCTCTCCCTGCCTCTCCCCGGCCTCGCTCGCCTCTCGCTCGCCTCTCCCTGCCTCCCCTGCCTCTCCCTGCCTCTCCCCGGCTCTCGCTCGCCTCTCGCTCGCCTCTCCCCGCCTCCCCTCGCCCTCCCCTCTCCCTGCCTCTCCCTGCCTCTCCCTGCCTCTCCCTGCCTCTCCCCGGCTCTCGCTCGCCTCTCCCTCGCCTCTCCCTGCCTCTCGCTCGCCTCTCCCTGCCTCTCCCTGCCTCTCGCTCGCCTCTCCCTGCCTCTCCCCGCCTCGCTCTCGCCTCTCCCTGCCTCTCCCCGGCTCTCGCTCGCCTCTCCCTGCCTCTCCCCGGCTCTCGCCCGCCCGGAGCTGCCTTGCTCTGAGCCAGACTCATCGTCAGCCTGTTCTTATTTTAAATAAACTACGTTTACTACACAGCATGTGTACAATGATTTTTGTTACTCAGAATGTTACTACTCATACAAATAATATTACTAATAACAATAATGACAATAAAACAGCAGCAGCAGATACATGACTTCTCTTCATGACAGAGACAGACCCTCTGCTGCTCCTCGTCTCCTGATTGGTTGAAGCCCGCGTCAAAGCTTCAAAAGCTCAGCTTTGCTCAGCTTCGGCGTCAAAGGGATTGTTGTGATACGCGAGCGTTTCGCGCGTCAAAAGCTTCAAGTGAGCGCGTAGTACGCGCGACTCTTGAAGCTTTTGACGCGCGTCAAGTGACGCCGGGGCTCTCGGCTTCACCTGACGCGCTTCACCATTCACTTTTAATGGAAACCTGACGCTTTTGACGCCGAAGTTAAGTCCGGTGTGAACGCCCCTTCAGAGCTGAGAGCTGATTGGTGGCTTCAGGGAAACATTTCCTGGTGCACTTTATCCTGAAGTCCCATTTTAGAGATGACAGTGGTCCATGACGTGTCACTGGTCCACAGCGTGTCCAGGCGTGTCACTGGTCCATAGCGTGTCACTGGTCCATGGCGTGTCACTGGTCCACAGCGTGTCCAGGCGTTTCACTGGTCCATGGCGTTTCCAGGCGTGTCACTGGTCCATGGCGTTTCCAGGCGTGTCACTGGTCCATGGCGTGTCACTGGTCCACAGCGTGTCAGTGGTCCATCGCGTGTCACTGGTCCATGGCGTGTCACTGGTCCATGATGTGTCACTGGTCCACAGCGTGTCCAGGCGTGTCACTGGTCCATGGCGTGTCACTGGTCCACAGCGTGTCCAGGCGTGTCACTGGTCCATGGCGTGTCACTGGTCCACAGCGTGTCCAGGCGTGTCACTGGTCCATGGCGTGTCACTGGTCCACAGCGTGTCCAGACGTGTCACTGGTCCATGGCGTGTCACTGGTCCACAGCGTGTCCAGGCGTGTCACTGGTCCATGGCGTGTCACTGGTCCATGGCGTGTCACTGGTCCATGGCGTGTCACTGGTCCATGGCGTGTCCAGGTGTGTCACTGGTCCATGGTGTGTCACTGGTCAATGGCGTGTCCAGGTGTGTCACTGGTCCATGGTGTGTCACTGGTCCATGGTGTGTCACTGGTCCATGGCGTGTCCAGGTGTGTCACTGGTCCATGGCGTGTCCAGGTGTGTCACTGGTCCATGGTGTGTCACTGGTCCATGGCGTGTCACTGGTCCATGGCGTGTCTAGGTGTGTCACTGGTCCATGGCGTGTCCAGGTGTGTCACTGGTCCATGGCGTGTCCAGGTGTGTCACTGGTCCATGGTGTGTCACTGGTCCATGGCGTGTCCGATTAAGATTCAGAAAACTTCGATCCCAAAGGTCAATTCATTTGTAGCAAAAACTCAAAGCAGATCACACAGACTCTACACCACAGGTGTCAAAGTCAAGGCCCGGGGGCCAGATCCGGCCCGCGAGACCATTTCCAGTGGCCCCTGAGATGATTTTAAATTATTATATTAAATAGCAGCATAGATGGTTTTATGACAATGGCATGTTCTCCATTACTAATTTTTATAAGAAAACAACCATAAAATGTAATTCCATAAGAAATGTTAAGCTAACATGCAATTAGAAATAGTATTGTTATGTTTTTTTACGAGTCTTCATTTACATTTCTTCTTAAAGATAGAGGATTTCACAGTTTTCTCTAAAGAACCGACCTCTCCACTTTTTGAACAAAACTCTGTGGTCTTATTGGATGAGCACAAATCACCAGAATGATTGACAGTTGGGAGGACCAATAGTCTCAATGATCCACACAGAAGTAGACAATCTTCCTCTAAGCCTTCAATATTTGGTCCAGATTTGGTCCAGATTTGGTCCAGTCACAGGAACTGAACTTATTATAATCAGAAAAGAAAATCCAATCTAACTAATGTGAAACAAGTCATTCATATAAATACCTTCATATTATAAAAAAGTATAATAAATGAAACCCACTTCTTCTTTCGGCCCCTGACCAGCCCTTTCATTTTTATATGGCCCTCTACCAAAATAAGTTTGACACTCCTGCTCTACACAAACACACAGTGAGTCTCACAGTTCACACAGCAGCAGGTTACACAAAATAAGTTACACAACAACACTGAACAACACAATTCCCAAAAGTCAACCACCTCGACCAGAGTTCAACAGTTTTATGGCAGAGGGCGCAAAAGAATTGGAGAAACGGTTTTTCTGTGCTGGAGCATAAAAACGACGCCCTGAAGGCATCAATACAAAGTCAGCGATCAGCAGATGTTTGGGCTGAGCCAGAATACATTTAGCTTTATTCAGCACCTGTTCCTCCCACAGAGAGTGAAGGTCTCTGAGTTTACCACCTGTGATTTTAGAGCAAGTTCTCACAACTCTGTGACCTGTTTCTGTCCTTCAGCCTCAGGCTTTGGAACAAACAGAAACAAGAAAAGCTAAGAAGACTTTTAATAAAAGAACAATACAAACTAGAAACCGTTGCAATGGCTGAAGCCATTGCGATTGACTGCGGAACAGATCTAATGTGGAATTTAGCTGAAAAATCCTTGAAATCCTTGAAACTGTTAAAATACTTTAAACATCTTTGAAACTCCTGAAGTATTTGAAGCTCCTGATATCCTTTAAACTGTTATCCTTTATACTGGTTTTCATGTAAAAACCCCTATTAAGTTCCATTATACTGGTTTACATGTAAAAACCCCTATTAAGTTGCATTATACTGGTTTACATGTAAAAAACCCTATTAAGTTGCATTATACTGGTTTACATGGAAAAATCCCTATTAAGTTGCATTATACTGGTTTACATGTAAAAAACCCTATTAAGTTGCATTATACTGGTTTACATGGAAAAATCCCTATTAAGTTGCATTATACTGGTTTACATGTAAAAATCCCTATTAAGTTGCATTATACTGGTTTACATGTAAAAACCCCTATTAAGTTCCATTATACTGGTTTACATGTAAAAACCCCTATTAAGTTGCATAATACTGGTTTACATGGAAAAATCCCCATTAAGTTGCATTATACTGGTTTACATGGAAAAATCCCTATTAAGTTGCATTATACTGGTTTACATGGAAAAATCCCTATTAAGTTGCATAATACTGGTTTACATGGAAAAATCCCCATTAAGTTGCATTATACTGGTTTACATGGAAAAATCCCCATTAAGTTGCATTATACTGGTTTACATGGAAAAATCCCTATTAAGTTGCATTGTACTGGTTTACATGGAAAAAACCCTATTAAGTTGCATTATACTGGTTTACATGGAAAAAACCCTATTAAGTTGCATTATACTGGTTTACATGTAAAAACCCTATTAAGTTGCATTATACTGGTTTACATGGAAAAAACCCCTATTAAGTTGCATTATACTGGTTTACATGGAAAAAACCCTATTAAGTTGCATTATACTGGTTTACATGGAAAAAACCCCTATTAAGTTGCATTATACTGGTTTACATGAAAAAACCCTATTTAGTTGCATTATACTGGTTTACATGGAAAAATCCCTATTAAGTTGCATTATACTGGTTTACATGGAAAAATCCCTATTAGGTTGCATGATTACACTGAAGTCCTTGAAACTGCTGAAGTCCTTGAAACTGCTGAAGTCCTTGAAACTGCTGAAGTCCTTGAAACTGTTGAAGTCCTTGAAACTCTTGAAATCTTGAAACTGCTGAAATCCTTGAAACTGTTGAATCCTTGAAACTGTTGAATCATTGAAACTGTAGAAATGTCTGAAAGAGCTGAAGTCCTATTAAAATGCATGGGCCTATTAAAATGCATTGCAGAATTCTCAATGCAGATTTTTGTCCGATTGCGGAAAAACCGGAAATCGCTGAAGTCCCAAAAGTAATAGCAATAATCTCCCAAACATGTGGAACGTTTTGATGTATAACTTGTGGAAATTGT